TAGACTATTATGTGATTATTTGTTATATGTGCACATGTTTGTTTGGCGGTTGAGGCTTATCTGCTTTGTGAAGCCAATAGACCTGGGCATTCCAACCGGTTGGTTGTGGGTCGTGAGTATTCCATCCCGAGGATGACTGGACTCATAGTATGTGGGCATTCCAACCTGTTGGTTGTGGGCCTAGGGTATTCCATCCCGAGGATGATTGGACCCATAGTATGTTGATATTCCAACCGGATGGTTAAGGGCCTTGGGTATTCAAACCTGATGGTTGACTGGACCCATAGTATGATGTTATGACTATATGTGTATTGTTGTGGGTATGTGTATTTTGGGGGAACTCACTAAGCTCTCGGGCTTACAGTTTCAGTTTATTGTTTTAGGTACATCAGGGGATCGCAGCAAGGCGAAGGCGTGATCGTATAGCTCCTCATGTTTGGTTTATGTTTCTGGGAAAAAAACTATGATATTATACATTTTAAAAACAAAGTTGTAATGATTTTAATGGTTTGAAATATTTTTTTTTTAAACGTTTTAAATTGGCTTAAATTTTTGGGTGTTACAATATATTTTTCGATTTGTACATATTTGGTCATTGAGTTTTTTTTCGTTCATATTTACCCCTTCAACTTGTTAAACTGTACACATTTAGTCCTTATGACCGGTTATTCCAGGTTAGCCGGTAAAAATGACTTAATAGGGTAATATATTTCTCACTTTGTACACATTTAGTCCTTAATATTTTTGTACACATTTAGTCCTTAGTATTTTTTTGTTGCAAAATAAGTCATTTTTGTTTTTGTACTCATTGAGTACTTTTGAATGATTTCTTTAGGTTTTTTTCACAACATTATACGTGTGATAGCCATATGGTAGTGGGATAGGTTGAGGTGGTCCTGCTATGTGTTGTAGGTCAATATACTTGGTGCGGGCCGACTATAAGTCGTATGCACGGAGGCTCGAGAAGAGCGGTTGGTTGAGGCGGCAGACCAAGAAACCCTGGGTATTCAGTCTGATGACTGACTGGACCTGTTGCATGTTGGCATTCCAGTCCGATGACTGATTGGGCCAAGGTATTCCAATTTGATGAGTGTGGGCCCATTATGCATGATAATACGTTTGTTGTATGAAGTATTTTGGGAGAAACTCACTAAGCTTTGTGCTTACTCAATTGTTTATGTTTTCAGGTTCTATCGTTCATCGTGGGAAGGCGAAGACAGGACTGTACACACTCATCAGCAGTTTTGAGGATTCTGCATTTCTTATATTACTCTGATTTTCGATAAATGTATTTTGGAATAAACGTTTTTTTCTTAATAATGAATTTATAATTAGGGAGTTTTGCCTTATTTAAAAATAAAAATTTTTGGTTGTGAAAAGGAGACGTTACACACAAACATCAACAACCCCACACACTTCATCAATGATTGTCCCATGTAAGATGTCGTGAGAAAACCAAAAGATGTCATTCATAAGTAATGAATGAATACAAAAACAAAAATGACTTATTTTGAACAAAAAAATATTAATGACTAAATGTGTATAAAAATATTAAGGACTAAATGTATACAAAATGATAAATATATTACCCTATTTCCGGCTAACCTGGAGTAACCGGTCATAAAGACCGGACGTGTACAGTTTAACAAGTTGAAGGGGGTAAATGTGGACGAAAAAAACTCAGTGACCAAACGTGTACAAATCAAAAAATATATTACCCTTTTAAGTCATTATCCCTTGTCAATTTTATTAAAAGTTCATGTCGTCCATGATAAGCAAAATACATACGTAAATATATTAATAAATGATAACATACGTGGACATCTTTACATACCATTTTGCTTATAATAAACATCGTAACATATGAAAATACAATTTCTACCATAATATAATGGGAGGTGATATTTGCACCTGTTAATTTGATGCTTCCACTTAAATTAAAATTGTTTTTATATTTTTACCCTTAATTAAAATTTACAAAAATAAAATGAGATATGTATGAAGGTTTATACGTTTGCCTCTTATCCATAACAAATTTAAACGTTTCCCTACAAAAATTAGTTTGTTTTTAAATAACCCTTTCTTTTTCCACCTTATTTACTTATAAAAATTAATTAATTTTTGTTTTTTCTCCTCGTTTATTCCTTAAAAAAAATAGTTTGTTTTCTTATTTATTTATCAAATTAACTCACTAAATGATAAGTCATATCTCTTATTAGACCAGTCCACGTAAACTTTTTCATTTGAATGTAAAATCTAACAAAAAAATAATTTATCTCTTTGTCCATACACTAAATGATATATATTATGTAATGGAAATTATTTTATTTCAAAGTTGTTTATATCACAACAATAAAATGTTCAAATTAATACATATTAAATCATAGTAAATTGTTACCCAACTAAAATAATCAAATCATAATAATATTAAAAGAAAATATGACTATAAAAAAACATTCACCCTGCATCAATTATATATTATCACTTATAAAGTTGGATATGCATTTAAATCAAATAAGTTGCTCTTAAACACTTTATTATTCATTTGCAAAGTTTAGAGGCAACAATTCATCAAGATCAAACAACAATGGAAGTGGATACAGAGGAAATTTCCTATTCGGAGAGAAATAAAAATGAAGACCCAAAAGGCTATCAGAAAGATGAAGAGAAGAAGAAGAAATTATTGGGTGATTATGGATTTGATTGAACCTACTTTAATGGCAAAAATCATTTTGCAAAAGAATACATGTTTAGAAAGCAAAATGAAAAGAAAGAGAAGTAGAAGGACGAAGCCTATTATGTCCAAAAGATTTAAGAACTCCGATTGTCAAAAGTTTAGGGAAAAGTGTGAATTGTGGAAGAAGAGGATCGATAATGGTCGTGTTGAAGTATGGTCTACTGATTGCGAAGATGAGGAGGTTCGCAAACCAAATCATGGAAATGTTTTGTTGCTAACTTTCTTGATGCAGGTGTGAAAGTTGGAAAGTGTTTGATGGTGAGAAATTTTGATTCATTGGAACAACAAGGGAGTGGTTCGGAAGATGATTGAAACTCAGACAGTGCGAACTCAATCGAATCGTGTTTCTCTGCCAAAAGTGCAGGAAAGCACATGGAATTGTGAAACAAGGTTACTGCGAAGGTATACTCTATTCTCAAATCATTAGATATTCTAATTTTTCGTTATAATGATGAATTAACTGAATTGCATGATAATATTTTTGAATTAGGTGGAAGTCTAAGATACAACGGATTGAAAGTTTCTGATCTTAATGATAATCTTAGCAGGTGCAAATTTAAATTAGCTAAGAGGAGACTTAATATTGAGAAATTGGAATTAGAATTGAGGAAATATAGTTAGGGACATCTTATTAATGCTTTAAACATGTTTAAAACGTTTGGAGTTAAATCATGATCATATGCATCCATTTAGGTGGGATCGAGACTTTTATGATCCAAATATTATAATGACTTGGATATCCATTACAGTGAATAATGTTGTAGATCTCATTATAAAAAGCCTACATATGTTGTCGGACCTTGCAAATCCTTCTTGTGGTACTTGTGTGATGGTTGATATGTACATATTATGTTGTTACATTGTTATATCATCCAGGCCTCTATTTAAGTCATATGTTTTGTGTTATTTCCCCACACATGCTCTGTATAACCATCATTCCCTTATTAAGAAAATATGATCCTTAGTAACCTAAGGATGGTGAGGTGACTTGGGGTTTATTGGCTTGTTTTCATATTCTGCACAACATTATTACATTGTTTTCTCTTTTAAATGTTTTGTTGAAGTTTATGATGTTATAATAATGCACTTTAACATATGCAAAATTTTCCTAAAAACGAAGTTTTTGTGTTTTGATAAAGTATGAGGGTTTACATTTGTATAAAATTTCATATTCTTTTATATATTGTACTTATAATGTCTAACTCGATATTATTCATTAGACTTTCCAAATTTAACATACTATTTTATGTTTAAAATAGTATTTATATTTTATTTTTCTTCTTATATAGTTATATTGGTTTTGTGATGCCCTTATATACCATTTTGCCAAGATATATCTATTGTTAAAATATTTTAATGTTTTAACACGTTAATAGAAAAAATCTTAGATTAAGTGGGTTTACACTTAGAGTTTTTAATGTACATCTCCAACTACTCATACATGTTACATTTATGGAGACAATGAAAAGACTCTCAAGTTCAATGGGTGGGGCCTTAATTAAATAATAATAATAAATAATAGAATTAGCAAAAAAAAGAACAAAAAGAAGGATAAATCGACCATTTTAGAATATGATGTCAAGTTTTTGAAACTTAGACTTAAAAGTACTATTTTCACTATACATGGATCATTTTGAAAAATTTAATTTTAATAAGAAAACAACATATAAGGAAATATGTTTTACGTCGAATTTATCAATAACAAACTTGAAATTTACACAACAAAATCGGTCTACAATGATAAAAAAGCAACAAGTTTCTTCATGAACAAAATCAAAACAAACATTATATCATAGGGACTACATTAGAAATTTACTTTTAAAATTACATTCCTCTAAAAGGAGCGAATCCTTGCATATTATAGTTTGGAAAAATGATTCGTAGAGTAGTGAAATATATTTTGTACATATTTAATCATTTTCTTTTATTTTGTATATAAATTATCATTAAAATAACATGAGTTATTCAATATAATATTTTGATCCGGTATTGTAGGTTAATATTATTTTTTTATATATGATTTACCATTAAACTTTTTTTTTATACACGATTTATTTTTAAACTATGGAAAATTAAATTGATTCCTATTTTATCCTCCTATTTCATCCTCCCACCTATTTATTGATTGCCAAGTGTAATCTACTAATTCTCTTTCCTCATTTTATACTTTGATTATAACACACTTGTCATAATCTAATGAGTATGATGAAAAGTAGGAAAATTTTGCAGGGGTATATTTTACTTATCTTAAATTATGTCACAGTCATCTTCTTCGTCCAACACCATCCACTCCTACCACCATCCTCCACCTCCTACGACCACTATCCACCTCCATCAACAAACACCATCTTCCATTACCACCATTCGTCATCACATGCACACATCTACACCACCACCAAGTAACTAATCTGAAACCAGTTTCAACGAGCAACAAAATAAATTTAAACCTCCGATTCATTCAAACTCAAGTTCAAATCTATAACTCGATTCAAACTTTTGATCGGTTCATATTCAGATTCCAGTAATACAGTTGCATGACTAAACGAATATGATTACTAGTGGCACGATTCAAAAAGAAAGGCGAGAGAGGGATGTCGGGGTAAGATGGTTTTCACATAGTAGCATGAGAGGGAGAGGAACATGGAAAAGTGTGAGCGAAAACATGAGGGGTATGAGCGGTAATAAAGTGTTCAAAAATTTAAACAAACACAAAGAACGAATTATCACAACATCAATAGATATTTTCATTAATGAAAAATAAGATCCATTTGGTTTTCAAGAAACTTACAATTGAAACCTCACCTACATAAACTCTCACACTCAAATAAGAACAAAACACAAGATTCTGATTACAGACTCAACAATGACACAAGAAAAGAAACCCTGATCTAGATGAAGAAGGCGAGTGGAAGAATGAGAGCTAAAATATCTGATGCAAAGTTGTGTGTTATGAAAAAATGATCCATCTCAGCTGCACACAAGTATATATACCTCGGGTATAATATCTAGTTCAAGTCTGGTTTAACCCGGATCCAAACCCTAAACCATACCCGAATAAAAGTCCGCGTGTATATACAAAATTCCAAATAATGAGCCGCAGTCCTGAAGAAACATAAAACAACAAACCACACCCTGCACAAGAAATTTACTCATAAAATACACCCAAATAAATTACACTTTTTACCCTGATAATAAATATTCTTACTAATGTTAATCTTGACAAAAAAATCTTTGATATTTCAACCCCCCCCCCCCCCCCTCTTAAGATTAACATTGAGGGAAGATAACCAAAAATCAATCTACTTTAAATGGATCAAACAACCCCAACTGAAAACACAAAAAATTATGTTGTTTAGTTGGTAAAAATTTAGTAAAAATATCAGCCCTCTGATTTTATGAAGCAATCTTAACAATTTTTAGAATCCCTTTTGAAGCTCTGTCTCTAACAAAATGCACATCAACATCAAAATGTTTTGTTTTTTCATGAAACATAGGATTAAGAGCCAATTTAATGGCTAAATCATATCACAAAACACTTTTACAGGAAAGAAATCCTTAACTTCTAAATCAAAATATAATTTCAAAATCCACATTATCTCTCATGTAACAGAGGCTAAAGCTCTATATTCAAATTCAGTCAAAGACCTTGAGACAATATCTTGTTTTTTTACTTTTCCAAGATATTATAGATTTACCAAAATAAACACAATATCCTGTAACAGACCTTCTAGAGGTGACACACTTAGCCCAATCAACATCAATATAAGTAGATAAACATACATTCTCATAAATAGATCTATTAGCATTTTGATTATAATTTTTAAACTTAAAGTCCTTGGGATACCCAATGATCTTATAACATTTCTCAATGGTATGTCCCTTCAGACCATAATGTTTGCATTGTAAATTTGAATTTCCACGAAACTTGTTTTTTTTTCTTTTTTCTGATCATTAAATTTTCCAGCAAAGGCAGATGCCTGAGGCTTTGTGGAATTTTGGACAATAGAACCACCCTTTTGACGTGATTCCTCACGAGAAACTATAGGAAAAGCAGTTTTAACAATAGGAAGTGGTTCCATAAGCAATATATGACTTTTAACTTGACTAAATGTATCATCCAAGCCAGACAAAAGCTGCATCAGTTTCATTAATTTTGAATGATTACTAAATTGAGCAAAGGCTTTACATGTACATTCAGTCAAATTAACAAGACCAACAAACTCTTTCCATAAAAGCATCAAGCTTACCATAATATTTAGATACAATTAAACCACTTTGAGTAAGAGAATTAACTGGTGAATATTAAAAACAACTGGACCATCAGCTTTGTGGTAAGTCTCATTTAATTCAGACCAAATATCAGAAGCAACTTCAGCACAAGCATGATTAGCATGCAAAGACTCATAAATTGAACCTAAAATCCAAGAACACACAACAACATTTACACGTTCCCATTTACGAATTTTAGTTTCATCTGCAACTGGTTTAGGAAAAGTCTTATCAACAAATCCTATCTTATTTCTTCCTTTTAGATCCCTAGTAATAGAGCTTTTCCATATTCTAAAAAGTTCTCAGTACCAGTCAGTTTATAGGAAATAATAGAAACAACACCATTATCAGATGGACGTAAGAAAAGAGGATCATCAAAATCATAATGATTTGGACTCTTTCTTCTAGATCCAGATCCAGGAGTTAGAGCTTCTTTAACCATGACTAATACAACCTATGAGAAAAACAGGCTGAGTTCCCTTGGCTAAACCAACGTCTGTAGTGGACCAGACTCTAACCACTTTTCAAGGGGAATACAAGCTAATACAGAAACAGGACCAACAACCTTCAATTATCAATACATTGTAGTGATCACAACAATAAAAATCAAGATAACAGATAAACTCCCAAGATATAACCTGAACAAACAAGTGATAGAGCGTGTGAAACTTACAGTGCTCCATAAATACGCTCTACAAAACAACAAAGTAGTTTATCGTTAGGTCTATTAAGATCGATAGACTTAACACTGAACAGAAACGACATTCAAATGCCAACGAACACCAGGAACCACTCAGATTGCACCGTTTGACCTCTTGAGGTTGACCGTGGCTTAACGTTGGCCGTTAGAGGTAACAATATGTTAGATCTAACGTTTACTCTCAAGCCAATGTTTACTCTCAAGCAAGGACGATGTCTGAGATGAAGTTTACAGAACCACATCAAAGAACAACCAGGAACAACCCCGATTTAATCCGAATCAGAACACAGATCGAGAAGAAGACTCGATAAAAGACCGAAACCCTAACTCAATGAACAAAAGAAACCCTAACTCGAAGAAGAGAAGAAAACCCTAACTCGACTCAGGAACAATAATCAAATGAACAAAAAACGACGCAGGACTTAAACCTGCTATGATACCATTTTTAAAAATTTAAAACAAAACACAAATAACGAATTATCACAACATCAACATGTCTTTTCATTAATGAAAAATAAGATCCAGTTGATTTTTTGGAAACTTACAACTAAAACCTCACCTATACAAAACTCTCACACTCAAACAAGAACAAAATACAAGACTCTGATTACAAACTCAACAATGACACAAGAAGAGAAACCCTAATCTAGACGAAAAAGACGAGTGGAAAAACGAGAGCTAAAATATCTTATGCAAAGTGTGTGTTATGAAAAAATGATCCATCTTAGCTGCAAACAAGTATATATACCTCAGGTACAACATCCGGTTCAAGTCCGGTTTAACCCGGATCCAAACCCTGAACCATACCCGAATAAAAGTTTGCGTGTATATTTAGAATTTCAAATAGTGAGCCGCAGTCTTGAAGAAGCATAAAACAACAAACCATGCCCTGTACAAGAAATTATCTCACAAAATACATCCAAATAAATTACACTTTTTACCCTGATAATAAATATTCTTAACAATATTAATCTTGACAAAAAACCTTTGATATTTCGACATAAAGGATGTGGGAGAGTTTACTGAAAATGAAAAGGAGGAGACCGTGTGTTTTGTAATTTTTTTAAAAAAAATAAACGAGTAAAATTGTGTTTTTTTTTGTTTGGAATTGTGTTCGTGGGGAATTATAGGAAACCGATGATGGTCGGAAAAAGTAAAAATAATTAAATATGTAAAAATTAGTTTAATGGTAATCATATATTCATATATGAAACTAATATATTTTTTTTCTTTGAAATAATGAATTTAATGATAATTCTTAAACACATCCTCTCTAATAAATAAAGAACTTTTTTGTCACATGACATGCTTTCCTTCAATTTGACAAATGTCAATTTGTAATAATTTTGAATTAATTGTTTTCCACATCTCATTTTATGGGTTTTCCTATTTAATTAAATTCTATATAATATTTTAATGTAATAATTACAATAAATATAGTAATAAATGGACATCAATTTCATTAATTAGTTTACGTTCTAATTTCAAAAGTTTTAAATTAAAGTTTATTAGTTTCTTTTGTTTATTTATTTAAATTATTTGTTTAAATTTAAAAGATAAAAAACATTTCAATTTTAATAATTCATTATTTTTTTTATTTTCTTATAAATTCAAAGTTCTTAACTTTTTAGACTTTCATATTTAATTTTTTTTTAAAATTAACTCATGTAATACATGAGTCTTAAACAAATAAACTTCTAATACCCGATAAAAATAAATATTTGTTGAACAACAAATATAAAATAATGATAGTATAAAAAACAACTCAATCTTTACAGAATTTAGAGTTTGATAGATCCTTTCACTCATTTACCATAATACTAGTTTATAAGTTCAAGAACAAAAACAGGGTTTAGGGGAGACCTTTCAAGGCACGCTAACACATCATTTTTCTTTGATTCTCTCGCTGAAGATACAGATATACGGATTTCAACTTCGATTTGCTTCTGAAAGAGAGTAGAAGAACTAAAGACCAAATTAGTTGGTTTATCATCAGTGTTTGCATCTTAAAAAATCATCTTCAACAAAAAACCCCATTTCCGTAGATGGACATATGTGTGTCCGTAAGTTTAAATTTCAGTTTTCTGTAATTTCTTGATTGCGAATTTCTCCAAAAGACAGGTAAGGGTTAAAGAAACAAGCAGTTGATATATTTACATATCACAGTATGTGTTTTTGTGTGTGAAAACGAATAGTTAATGTGAGTTTTTTTCTTTGCAAGTCAATTTTGACTCTTCTAGCAATTTTATTGATTTGGGTTTGCCCGAAAAGGGTTGAAAAACAATCAATTCCTTGATTTACAAAACAGTGTGTTCTCTCTCTGTGTGTGTGTGTGTGAAAGTTGATAGATAATGTGTGTTTTTGTATGATATCTTTTTGCGGGTATCTTCAAGTCAAACTCAGACGTTTCTGTTGCTTTAATTTCTTGATTTGTGTTTCTTCAAAAGCAAGGTAGGGATTGAATAACATTTATTCGAGTGATCTACAGATCAAAGTATGTGTTTTTGTGTGTGGCAATGGATAGGTGATGAGCGTTTCTGCATTTTTCTTGTGTATGTGTGTCTGCAAGTCAAACATTGACTTTTGTGTTACTTTCTTCATTTAGGGTGTCCTGAAAGGGAAGAAAAGTCTTGAAAAACAACCAACTGCTTATCTATTTTATAAAAAAGAAGACTTCCTGACACGAACGGGTTGAAAGCTGATAATCTGTATCTTTCAGTGAGAAATCTTGGGTTTTTGTTACTTTATTGATTTGGGTTTCCTCCAAAACTGTAACTTGAGAGTTAAAGAACCAATTTCTTGATCCACAAATCACAGTGTGTGTTCTTGAAGTGCGTGAAAATGGAGGAAAACACAAAAACACCATCAGCTGAGGAGCTATTAAGAAAGATCCAGGAGCTAGAAAAACTCCAATCTCACCTCAAACAAAAAATATCAAAACTCATGCTCTCTCGTAACCAGAAAAAACCTGAGCACCAATGGTCTAATTCATCATATGGTGGACTCAAGCTTCGATTCATGGAGCCTTTAGATATGAAGCTAACAGAATCACAGTTTTTAAATATAATTCAATCAATGGATCAAGCTGTACATATATATGGTCTCAACCTTCGGATAATCTTCTGGTTAGGTCACCACTACCACTGCAAATTGATCATTTATGTTTCTTGTTCGTTTTAATATGAATTTGAAGAAAATGCATTTAGTTTTTTTAACATATTTGGTTAATGGGAATCGTGTAGGAATCGAGCTGCAGAAAAGCTTTATGGATATACATCAGCTGAAGCTTATGGAAAAACTCCCACAGAGCTTGTAGTGGAACCTAAAGATGGCTCATTATCTGATTATCTCCTTGAACGAACAGTAAATGGAGAGACTTGGTCTGGGGAGTTTCCCATAAAAAGTAAAAAAGGTGAAAGATTTGTAATTATTGCTACAAATTCACCATTTCGTAATGAAAACAGAGGATTAATTGGGGGTATGTGTGTTTCAAGCGCTTCAAGTCCATATCATGTAAGGAATCATATTGATTCTCAACAACCTCTACAGACATCAATTGCCTCAAAGATATCAAATTTGGTCAGTATTTCAAAGGTGAAGATGAAGATGAATATGGGAGACAACTACACAGATCATGAAGATGGGATTGATGTTGCCTATGATCATAGTGAACCAAGCACCCCAAGGGGACATATTCTGTCTCCATTTGTAGATCTTTTTTCCAAAAGCACAGTGGAGCATTTTACAAGAAAACTTAAAATAGATTCTGGATATGAGAGTGAAAACAAATCAGGAATCTACAAGTTTTTTTCTTCAAAAGCAGATGCATGGATGGCTAAAAAAAGAAATTCATGGTCACAGAAAGGAAACGAAAGAGTAGAGTCTTTTGATCCTATATTTGGTAGGTTTGGTTGGCAAAGGTTAGATATCAATCAAGAACACGAGCCTTGTCCAAAAATAAGCTCTTGTGTTTCCTCAAAACAAGACTTTCAACTATTGGAAAATACCAACAAGAGCAATAACAAAATCGAGGCTTCAGGGTTGTGGTTTTCTTCATTACATGTTAGTAGAAGTACTACAAGTAACTCAAGTAGCTCAAGCAGCAGTATGAGCATCAAAAACAATGCCATCATCAAAGTGGAGAGGGAAACCGATAGCCTTGATTGTGAAATCTTGTGGGAGGATTTGATAATGGGAGAACAGATTGGACAAGGTAAGAGAAGGGTATTGTAGTCATTTGGCAAACTATTAAATTATTTTTTTGATATTTTATGTTTTTGGCAGGTTCATGTGGGACTGTATATCGTGCACTGTGGTGTGGATCAGTATGTTCTCCATCTCTCACTTGATTATGATTTTAATTATCTCTTGTGGAGAGTAATGTCTGGTTATTTTGTTTTACTTAATTATTGATGAATTACTGAAACTTTCTTTGAAAAAAATGCAAGGTAGGAACCTTGGTGCACAGGCTCATGGTATGCTGGGTATGCACGTGCATATCCTTTAAAAGGAAAGTCTAGTGTAAGAAAAGTAAAAAAAAAAAAATAATTGTTAATCTACACCGTGTATAGACTAATACTATAGACTAATCTACCTGTGGGATATTTGAGTATACTAAAAGAGTTACACAAATGCTTTTATATTATATAAGAAACGGATATCTAGAAAAACAATATAAAACGTCAATCAATTTATGTATACAGGATGTTGCGATCAAGTTATTTGAATATCAAGAGTATCCAGATGATTTGATGGTATCATTTAAACAGGAGGTAACTATTATTTTCTAAAATGCATATAACACTTTTCAAGGATGTGATTGTTTAAATTGCATCCAATTATTTTATTTCTTTTTTGAAGGTATCTCTAATGAAAAAGCTTCGACATCCAAATATTTTGCTCTTCATGGGTTGCGTGACCTCACCTCTGCATTTATCCATTGTCACAGAGTTCCTTCCCCGGTTGGTTCTTAAATCCCATAAAATTTTCAATGTATTTTTTTTCTATGAAAACGTAAGACAACATGCATAAATAATCTCAATTGATTATTTGATTAATGTGCATGTATACAGCACTCTTTTTTTTAAATTGACTTCTGTTGCGTAGTGGAAGTCTGTTTCGGATACTTCAGCGAAATACAACCCGATTAGATTGGAAACGTCGTCTCCATATGGCCATGGATATCGTAAGTAGCATCAAGCATGCTAATTAGTAATTATCATCTTTTTTTTTTGATTTCTTTTGTCTTATTTGTGATTCTCTCAAGGCTCGAGGCATGAATTATCTTCATCATTGCAACCCACCGATTATTCACCGTGATTTGAAGTCTTCAAATCTTCTTGTGGATAAGAATTGGACAGTGAAGGTATGCTTTTGACTACCCTTTCTGGTTCGTGGCATTAATTTGTCTATGTTTTTCTCAGTAATTAATAATTATAATATGATCTTTTAGGTCGGTGACTTTGGTCTCTCTCGTGTCAAGCATCACACGTACCTCAAAACAAAGTCGGGGAGAGGAACGGTATTTCAATATGCTTTCTTGATTTAGGCTCCCCTAATTTGTTCCAAAAATAACAATGAAGAAGCCTTTTTTTTTTTTTTTTTCGAAAGTGTATTCAACTTTGAGGTTAAAGGGGGTAGGTTTGACTTCAGAAGAGATGATGTTGGCTTGACTGATTTCTTGTTCCTTTTTGTAGCCTCAATGGATGGCTCCTGAGATCCTACGTAACGAGGAAGCAGATGAAAAGTAAGAGGATTTTATTTTTCATGAATTTTGGAATCCAATAATTGGTTCGTTTGTTGGCATATTTTAGGTCTGATGTATACAGCTATGGTGTGGTATTGTGGGAAATTACCACTGAGAAGATCCCATGGAATGATCTTAACCCAATGCAGGTATACTATTCTCAAGTATGAAATTCAATATTTTTTGCTTCAACCTTCAAGACCAAACACAACATAATCTAAAAGCACAAAATATATGTGGTGCTTATTTTGCTTTAAGAAAGAGTAAAGTTTCAAATCAAGCTTGATGTTTAAGGTTGTTTTGTTGACTTCAAAAGTCAATATGCTACTCTTTGATTCTTGAGGTCCCGAAAGGGTGAAATGCAAACTACAGTTTTACATATGATACTTGTAGGTTATCGGAGCTGTAGGATTCATGAATCGACGACTAGAGATTCCAAAAGATGTTGATCCACTGTGGGCTTCTCTAATCGAAAGTTGTTGGTGCAGGTTGGTCTCTTTCTGATGAAAATGTTTAAAATATCCTTTACAATTGATGTGGGATATATTTCCTTTTGTATGTTCAGTGAACCACAATCCCGGCCAACATTCCAAGAAATACTAAATAAACTTAAAGATTTGCAAAAGAAGTATGTGGTTGAACACAGGAGAAAGGAACCGTAAAACAAATCTTGTGCATGCTTGGTTTCTTCTCTTGTCAGATGTCACCATTTTTCCTTTAAAGAATTTCATTTGATTCGGTTACACAAACGAGGGAAGCAAGCTGGACTTCTTACATACTTGGAGCTACCTTCAGAGGCGAATGGGATTCGTGACACGTTCCACATGTGCTATACGTGAAAGCGCTTTGCGATGGAGGATAAAGTCATACCACTATTCCAACTTGGGATGGACAAAAAGAAATGACTCATAGAAGAGCCGGGTAGACCCTTAAATGAAAGGCAAAGAAACATCGAAATAAAGAAATCAAGTGGTATTAGTGAAGTGGAAGCATAATTATTTTGGGGGAGAATTTGATATATGACATTTTTAAACATTAAAATATCATATTTGTTCATTTTAATTTCTTAATATTATATTTATCCTTCATAAACCGTCATAATATATATTTGCCCGAATATTTTTTTTGCAATGCTTTTATTAGTTTATAATCATTTTTTATATATTAGACTTGTTATAATAATTAAAAAAGTTAACCATATTGTCTCTACATCTATAATAATTGAATGTCTACTTCTAAATCGTTGGAATGTAGCCCTCTTGACAAACAAAACGTTTCATCTTCAATCATCTTCATGCAATGTATGCATTGATTGTTTAGTTTTGTTGTTGCTGATTATTTCGTGTAATAGATAGATGATACTTTTGATATTTCCATTGAGTTTGATGTTTAAGAAGAGTATAAATTATCTACGAAAGCCTTTTAAGTTTTGTGACACATCAGCTGTCGTCCTTTTAAGCCAATAAAAAACAAACCTCTTTCACATGTTTATTTGCGTGAATGCTTCCTTTCCAAGCCTTCATCTCATGTTTGTCGTATTGCTCTTCTTGCTTCGTCAATCATATAGCTTGCCACCTCTTGTTTATATGGCTGTTGAGTCATTGCTTATCAACCGACATCCTCTTTTATGAAAAAATCTCTAATTTACTTGCCTACTGAGACTCATAAATCTTCGTCCCCTTTACTGCCATCTCCTGCTTCGTTTTGCGTGGTTCAACTTGCCGCCTCCTGCTTCCTTTATCTCTACCCCTTTTTTGGTAACAACTGCCTCCTACTCCCCCCCTCTCTCTCTCTCTCTCTCTCTCTCTCTCTCTCCCCCTTTCCCTTTCCCTTTCAGTATACCTCCCACACAGTTAATGACCTTTACAAGATAGGATGGATCAAAGAGTAACGCCTTCTTCTATCTCTGCTTTCCTCTGTTTAGGTTCTCTCCCTCTCTCTCTCTCTCTCTCTCTCTCTCTCTCTCTCTCTTCTTTGATGCGGTTTATTTAGAAGCATGTATGAGTTGGACATCCTTCATTATTTCGATGTTGTTTATCTTTATTAGCCCTAAAACCACCACTGCTACCCCTATTTTGTATCATTTTCACCATAAAATCGACGGACATCTATCAGCCCTTGGCACCGCTCCCTATCTTCTCTCTCTCTCACACACACACATTTGCATTTGGGTTCCAGAGTTTCAAAGACTTCTAACTTGATGGTGTTCTTGTTAAAGAATCCAGTTTGCCATTTATTGTTTCTGGTGGGAAAAAGTTTATTCGGTGATAGTATTTCTACTCAAATTCTTAATTTTCAGCAATTAGTTAACTATTTATTACATCTTGCTCATCATTTTCAGGAAGGTTGGATGATGAGCAGCCTACAAAACATAAAAATAAGGAATGATTTGGGAACACTTTGCTTGAGACAACACGTCTGGGGGATATTGACCCATTCAGAAAAAGGTACGTTGATTTTCTTGTAGTTCTTTTGATTTTAATATATCAATTTTTTAAACTTTTATTTTGAACTCAGTATGTTACATGATTCTAATAATTATGATGATGAGGAAATGACATAGGACATGAAAATAGAGCTTGGAGGTATACATTATGTAAATAAAAGTTTTGATGTATTTAATTTCATATTTATCCTTCATAAACCCTCATAATATCATATTTGTCCAAATCTTTTTTTTGCAATGTTTTTATTATTTTATAATCATTTTTTATATATTAGAATTATTATTATAATTAAAAAAGTTGACCATTATGTCTCTACATCTACAATAATTGAATGTTTACTTCTAAATTGTTGGAATGTACGCCCTCTTGAACAAACAAAATGTTTCATCTTCAACCCTCTCCATGCAATGTATGCATTGATTGTTTAGTTTTTGTTGTTGTTGATTATTTTCACATGTGATTCATATGTGAATTACATGTGAATCACATGTAATTCATATGTGATTCACTTGTGATTTACATGTGAATTAAATGTGATTCATATCTGAATTACATGTGATTTTTTATCAATCAGACATCTTAATGTCACCAACCCTCTAGGTTACTGCAGAGGAATTACATGTGATTCAAGAACGATAATTAATCAATCAAAAAGGAACAATTTTTATTAACTTTTTATAATTCTTTTTGAAGAAATGAAATTTTTAGTCAACTTGAAAATTACCTGCATTTTGGCTTTGAATCCAGTTTGACCAACTTGTTCTATATTTTCTGATCCAACCATGCCAACAAGTATAAGTCGTCCACCATATTCATCAAATATGTCCTCCACAACAATATGTTGGTTTGGATAATATGGTATGCACCACGAGGTGGACTCATTCTAGGTTTTGTTTTAACTCATGCCAAATCACCTCAGATAATAGAGTAAAATTTAACACAAGAAGTCATGATTATTAGCAAATGTTTGATGAGAAACTCATTCTGTGACAACCGACACTTTCTGGTCAAGTCAAAGTCAAAGAAAGTCAACAAGTCAAACCGGCCAACTCAATTAACCCTTGTATATTAGGGTTTACATTATGTTTACTATTGTACAACACACCATCCTAATGCAAAGTATCACTTAGAGTTTTCACGTGTTCTGAAAATCTAAACCCTAATCAGGGTAAGTGATGAAACTATTCGATAAAACATTCATACATACCTTATAGGAGCATATAACACTCATAACGAGACATAACGGGGTTTACAAACTTTGCATTTCGAAGTTGAACACTCGCAAAGGTCACAAACAAAGTCTCTCTCAATCTCTCTCACTCTAGCTAAATCTCTCCCAATTCTCTCTCAAAATCTCTTTCAACTTCATATAATCACTCGGGGCATCCCGAACCTTAATTTAGTCAAAACAACTCGAAACGGGAATATTTCTCAAAAATCAGCCATATAGGACCGAAACCTCCTAGGAACCGAACCTCCCTATAAGGACCTAAACCTCCTAGGGACCGAAACTAACCTTAGGGACCGAACCTGCCAAGAACCAAACTCCCCTTTGAGAACCAAACTCACTTTCGGTTTGGGTCAAGTCCCTTCGGACCGAAGCCCCTCCTACTTTCGGTCCATTTCACTTTCGGTCTATTTCGCTTCCCATATGCCTTCGGTTCCCACTCGAGCAGTTTCGCGTGCAAGCCTTTAGGATCGAACCTACCTTCGGTTCTAGCCCATAGACCGAACCTACCTTCGGTTCTAAACTCCAAGGACCAAACCCTCACCTCAGACCTCGCAGGTTCGCCTCTTGATCCCGGTTTTTGAGTACTTTCGCGTTTAAAGCTCGTTTTTCATGATTTTAACATGAGATTTTCACCCAAACTCATATTTTGGCATATAAGACCATATATATTCACATTTTAATCATATTTTGGGGGAAATCTTAATCTAGGAATAATATCTATTGTGTAAGATATTGTGTTGGAGTGTTGACTTTTCATTAAGTATGACACAAGCTATCCCCCATACCCACTTATGACAACCACCCGTCACTATTCCTCCCTACCTAGTCAACTATTTGTCCTCTCACACTCCCCTCCAGCAAGATATTTTGATCAAAAGCTGGAAAACCCTCATCTTTCCTTCCACTTTACTCACTCTCTCACTAAAAAGTAAACACCTCTCTCTCACTTTCCCTCACTAGAACTCGAGATTTCAAGGCTGTTCTTGAGCATCCTCCTCCAGTCTTGGTAAGTATCTTCATCCTACACTCGAATACTCTACACTCCTTCACTCAAATCATGAATCTCTTACACAAATATCGTCATATTTGTGCCTAGGATCTTCAAATCTTCAAGCACCTCCCATGTGTTCTGTACTTGGAAACCTCTCTCCTCCCACATCCATCTCAGAAAATCGCTCAAGGTGAGTTCATACCCCCCACATTTTCATGTTTTTCTTCGAGTTTTAGGGGGAGAATAAAAGTTAAAACACTAAAAACTTAACTAAACTCAAACATCAGCTTTCAACAGG